TTAGTAGAAATTTAGTAATCAAATAAATTGAATCCAGTTGGTATTGATTTACTTTCTGTTTTAAAGGGAATAACTATATTTGTTTATAAGAGCTTAGATTAAAAATTCAGTACTGGGGCTGGAAAGAGGCCCAATGGTTAATTGCGCTGGCTGCTCTTCCAGGGGACCTGGGCTCAATTCCCAGCACCAACATGGCAGTTCACAGCTGTTTGTAACTCTAGTACCAGGGGATCTGACCTAAAATAATTTTTCAGCTTAAAAACTAGATTTTTTAAAATCCAAATTACACTTAGTAATGAAGTTCTTTTACAAAGACAGTGAATGTATTGAATCTTTTTAAATATGAAAACTATGCTAAAGTAAGGTAGGAGATGGGGCAACCAAACAATTATTACAAAAATGTGATTTAATGAAGGGACATAGTATCATCCTCATTTGTAGGTTTATCAAAAACAAAATTAGAATTATTTTTAAGAGTTAGGGCTATACCAAGCCAATTATATATCTGAGATAAAGTGTAAAAATGTCTTAAGTATAAAGCGATTTTTAAAACACAAAAGTGAGTCAGAAATATTTCTGTACTCAGTTATCGATGCATTTGAAGATGAGTGGAATCTGGATTGCACTTTAAATCTGCGTGAGTTTATCTTCAGAAAGTGGTCAAGTTTGGTGTAAGAAACAAATCTAAAGTTCATTTCCTGAAGTTCTGTAATAGGAGCTAGTTAGAAGTACCCAGTAGAGCCCTTTTCTTTGTGATTGAAGGGTATGTTGCGGCAGTGTCTTATTTTATTGATGAAATCACCTGGAATGTGTGTGTTGTTAGTATACACACACACACACACACATACGCACACACACAGACACACAGACACACACACACATACACACACACGTAATTTTAACAACCTTCTATTGTTTTTTGTGAATTTTATATCATGAACCCCAGTCCTGGTCATCTTCCCCTGCGCTTGTACCCGCCCTTCACCCATGCAATGCCCACAACACAGGAAAATAACCCGGTTGTGGAAGTTGTGATGTGTCCCAGTGTGTGCCAGTTTACCCTTTTGTCCACGCGTCTTTGCTGGCAAATGGTCATTGCAATGACTCCTTTGTCTGGTAAGTGGCCTCTAGCTTCTGCCACTCTATCAATACTGGAACTTCACTGGGACTCCACTCAGATATCCTGTTCTTGCCCCGTGTCATGGAGATTCTGTGGTTTGGGTCTGCAAGACTGGCCCCTTAATGCATTCCAGCAATTCATCAATGCAGTAGATGTTGAGATAGGCCAATTCAAAGCCCTGGATCTGGGCCTGAGAGGCATCTGACCTCCTGCTCTCATGCCCTTGGGACTGGCTCACCAGCAAGCCCCCCACCCCATCCTCCATCTTCCCTACTCCTCCCCTTGCAACCAGGGCCAGCTCTGTCCTGCTGCCAAGGTGTGATGCAGGGCCTGCTCTCCTGAGTATTGCAGCGCTGAGGGACATGGCCAGTTCTTCTACTCTCATTATCCCTGGGGTCAGCTCTTCTGCCTGCCATAGATGGCAAGGGACAAGGGAAGGGAGGAGGACATCTGTCCCTCATCGGCTTCACTGCCCAGCAGACAAGAGGTCGGGCTTGCTCTCCTACACTCACACCTTCAGTACCAGCTTACCTGTAACTGCCATATCCAGCCAGCTCTACTGTGCTGATTTAAGTATTAGTTCAGGAAAGTGTTTTAATATGCTCTAAGGGACAGACATCATAAAGTCACACCATGCCACAGATCTCAGGTGGGAGGTTTATTGGGGAGTGGGTATGTCGAGGCTGCCTCCGGATGGGGGTGGAGGGAGGAAGAGTGTGGCAAGGAAGGACTGGCCTTTTGTTAGGGGATGTAGCACATGCGCAGGGGGAGGATATGGCACCCCTGCAACAGTGGGACTGTGTCTCATCTTGGCAGTTAGTGGTGACGTCTGCTGTCTCTGGGGGAAGGTGGTGGAAATGCCTGGTTACCAACATTTATGAACACATAGTCTTAGTTATTGTGTCATTTAGCAGGAGTGCCTCAGGTATGAAGAATTCTTTGAAGTAGAACTTTTGGCGACTGTTAATACAGGGGTAAGTGGAGGTTTTACTCAATGGGCAGAGCCTTACTGAGAACAGGTTGACATTTAAGAAAAGCAGGCATCAGTTTTGTCTGAGGGCATTGAGTTATAGTATCCCTTAATCATATAGTGTAGTCTTACCCAGAGCTCTCATGTAACTTAATCAAACTCTTTGCAATTTAGTTGTAAGCTCTTAATTTTGTTCTACCTCTTTATTTTTGGACAGAATCTTAATTTATTGTAGAAAAAGGCTGCACCTTATCTAAAATATTTATTTTTCCTTATTTTACCTAAAGTATAGACTTACACTTGTTCTTTTTTATTTAATTTCTCCTAACAAGCACTGAATCCAATCATGTACTTGATTAATACAGCAAAGTAATTTTTGTACAATTATTGTTAAGACCCCATTTTTTTTGTTTTAATTCTTACATAGACAAAATTGCTTCATGGAATTTTAAGGCATCCTTCACCTTTTTTATTTTCATTAAAATATGAGAGTTAGAGAATGTTGCATTTCAACAAAGACCTTGAGCAGTAAATTATCTCGTGAGCAGGAAAGGCAGAAAACCCCTGCAGCTGCAGTTTTGAACACAAAAGGATATTTTTTCAAGAAATGGAAAGAGACAGCAAGTGGTTACATTTTATAAGGACCAAGAGACAAGAGAAAAGAAGAACCAAAAGTGACAACAGAAAACAAGTGGAAAAGGCTAACAGGAGAGAGAGGCGTTGTTGGTGAATTAGTCCCAGAACATTTGTATATTTATACAAAGAGTAGCGTAACTTATTTACAAACCAAAATCAGCAAGGTATTTTAATATTTTATTATGGCATAGCTATTAGAGTCTTAATTTATAACATAGTATTACATGTATCACAAGAAAGAACATTTTTTTGTTAGAAACAGAAAGGGTTTCTCATGCCTAAGACTGGAGTTTTTGTTTTGTAGTCTGTGGCTCTGTGGGTAGCATTGCCAGTCTAAGTTCATAACTCATTTACACACACACACACACACACACACACACACACACGAGAGAGAGAGAGAGAGAGAGAGAGAGAGAGAGAGAGAGAGAGAGGGAGGGAGGGAGGGAGGGAGGGAGGGAGAGAGGGAGAGAGGGAGAGAGGGAGAGGGAGAGAGAGAGAGAGAGAGAGAGAGAGAGAGAGGGAGAAGAGAGGGAGAGAGGGAGGAGAGAGGGAGAGAGACAGACACCCACTCACACACATAGACATACATACACATATGCACACATAGACACACACAGACACACACGCAGACACATATGCACACATACACACACATATACATACACACGCAGACACCTACTCACACACACAGACACAGACACACAATACATACACATATGTACACACAGGCACACACACACACCCCCACTCATACACACACACACACATACAGACACAGACACCCACTCACACACACAGACACACACACACAATACATACACATATGTACACACAGGCACATACACACATATCCACTCATACACACACACATACAGACACAGACACCCACTCACACATACAGACACAGACACACAATACATACACATATGCACACAGGCACACACACACCCACTCATACACACACACATACACACACACAGACACACAGACACACACACACAGATACCCACTCACACACACAAAGACATACACAGACACACACAGACACACATACACATACACAGATACATATACACACACATACAAATACATACACAGACCCACTCACACACACAGACATACACGCAGACACACACATATACACACACAGACATACACATACACACACACAGATACACAGACACTCACACACATAAATTAGAAAAGAATGTTTCCTTTCAGTTTTTTCAAATATCCTTACTGCTTCCGATATTCTTAGCTTATAAAGTTTAGATAGTCACCAGGACATGAGTTCAGATACTGGGGTAGGCATGGATAGCTTTCAAAGGAACCTAACATAACCCAGGATAATTGGTCCTGGTTTGTAGCATTTCAGCTTTCCATAGCATCAAATGCAGTCATTTGGTCCTGTAGAATCTTTTGACAGGAGTGCAGTCTTTCCTCTTTCTTTTTTTCCTTTCCCTTTACTCTTTCCCTTCTTTTCTTTCCCTGTTCTGGGAGCTTCAGCTCATACAGACTGTACAGAGAAAAGGAACAAAGGCATCGTTCCAAAGTTTAGTCTGTCCCTCTGGTCACCTGGTGAGTTTTGTCTCTGACATTCATATATGGATGCCTCCCTTCCTATCGTCTCCTGTATTTCCTTCTCATTTGCTTTTCTTTCTCACTCTGTGTCTTGAGGTTGCATATTGCCAAGGCCACTTGGAGTCCTCTCAAGGTTCTATCTAGGGTAGAGTTTCACTCAGAATGTTTCCCCCCCCCCCTCTCTCTCTCCCCCTCTCCTTCTCTCTCTCTCTGTGTTTATATATGTGTGTGTGATTATTTATAATGTATACATGTAGATTCTTTCCTGTAATATGAAGTACAGTTATACCCTTATAATTCAGAATGTAAATGTTCTATACCTCTGTCCCCTCAGAATTTTCTTAGTTATTTAAAACTTATATGTATGTATACTTAATGACAGTGAACTTAATTTTTGTTAGTGAATATGCATAGTTGACTTGGTTACTTTCTTGGTTTTGGAGGTCACTTGTTTTAATGTTAAAATTATGGGTTTTGCTCCTATAAAGGAATGAGAACTGTGTGTTTTGGGAGGCTTGATAATGGTCACAAATTTACTTAATCACTTTTATCTTCAGTCAGAAATAGAAGTCATGAACTCTTCAGCGGCTTTGATAAATTATACTTATCCTTTTAAGTGTGCTTATATCCTACAGTGATTAAATATCAAATATAAAAAGTATAATTAAAGTTATTTGTTTTGATTTCCTTCAGAAAAAAGAATATACCCGATCCTTGTCTATGTGTGGCCATGTTGGTTTTGAAAGTTTACCTGATCAGCTGGTGGATAGATCCATTGAGCAAGGCTTCTGTTTTAATATTCTCTGTGTGGGTGAGTGCCAGTGACTCTTTCTCTAGGGTTTCAGCATTTACGTTCCTGTGCTCGCTTCAGTCTCTGTAGAAGCAGGAGGGTGCTCGTATGAGCAGATTGACAGCTCTCTGGGGTTTATGAATTGTTTACATTTTAAGTTGCTTAACTTCAAACTTTTTTTTTTTAACTTTTAGAGGGCAGAGTAACCATGTATAGTCATTGTTTCTGTAGTGATTTAAGATGACCATTAGCCTAAATTCTTTCATAGGCCATGTAGCCATTCTAGAGTTTGCATATGTGATTCTCTGGACATGTGACTGTGTGCTTTGTTTCTCCTAGGGGAGACTGGCATTGGAAAATCAACGCTGATTAACACACTGTTCAACACTCACTTTGAAGAACTCGAGTCCTCACACTTCTGTCCGTGTGTTAGACTTAGAGCTCAGACCTACGAACTCCGGGAGAGCAATGTTCGCTTGAAACTGACCGTTGTGAATACAGTGGGCTTTGGTGACCAAATAAATAAAGAAGACAGGTATGTGGGTTCTGTTTGTTCGTGTTCTTCCTTGTAATAAGACCAGCTTTATTTCAGGGTGAAGACTTTGCCTTTTTCCTTTTGAGCTGTAATTTTATTTTCCACTGATATAATACATGACTATATTTCCCAGACATGATTTTTTCCTTTCTTGTTTAGGAACTAATCAGTATTTTCTTGTTATTGAGAAATTATAATTTTTCTTGATTTAATTTAGAATAAGCAAATCACAGCATTAAAATATATATTTATTAAAAATAGTTGTAACTATTTTCTGTTCTTTAGTATATTTTTAATGAATATTTTCACTAATATTTAGCCTTACCTTTTTGAGAAAGAGTGTTTAAGATATATAAGGGCAACATATATAGTGGTTATATATATTGTCTATGAGTTAATTTCCTCCTTCTATCAAATTCTCACCAAAATAGCCAGTTACATTATTAAACATTGTCAGAAACATATTTAGATTTTCATAATGATTTCAGTACACTTTGACCATACTCACCCTTCTCTCCCTAGCCTCCAGCAAGCCCTTATCACATTCCCTCCCAGATTCATGTCCCCTTCTTTGTGTGTGCGCGCGCATGCTCTCCTGTTAGTGCAGTAGTGTTGACTGTTGTGGTCTATGTGGACAGCTGTGGCTGTTGAGAGTTCATATGTGTGTTTCGGGAGTTTTGTCTGCCCGCTTTATGTTCCTGGCTGGTTGCATGCGCACACCTGCCCAGGAGCTATCTCGTATCTGTGACTAGAAAACACATACACACAAACACCAGTTATTCTCAAAATGCCTTGGCTAACTCAATAATTGGGCACTCCTAAATCTTCCCTTGCTGCCCCAGGCCCAGTCAGGGAAGTGGTCAGTGGCCACTTATCTAGAAACTCACACACCGGTTGGCTTTATCTCTTCCTTGCTACTGCGTCCTCTTCTCTCTCCCAGTCGCAGATTCTCCCTGCATCCTACTCATGAAACTGTCAGTGTCCCCACCCTGTGTTCAGCCACTGGCTACTAGCAACTTTATTGATAGATCAAAAACCAGTTGAGGGCAAGGACCTTAAGTGTCAGTAAACACAGATTGCAGATCAAAGCATGAGAACTACCCTCCAAGGTGCAGCCTCCCTGTTGTTTAGAAGATGCTGTTTCACAGCAGTGCTGGTCCTCTGGCTCCTGTCTCTCCACACCCTCCTTTGTGGGGTGTCTGGACCTTGAATTGTGTTATAGATGTCTCTTTTATGTTCTTGGCTAGGTCTACAGTATGAGTTTCCCCTAATTAAGCAGACCTTACATCCAGACAGACAGTCTCCTTAGGTTTAGAGCCAGATGGAAGCCACATGGCAGGCATTATTGGTGCGTTCCCTCCAATTCAGGCCCAGTAGGGAGCTGCACTCATAAGCTTCCTTGGTGAGTTCCCTTACTCTCCCACTCTGTGTCAGTAGCCAGTACCATTGCGCTATTAATGAGTCCTATTGTCTCTAACCCCCGCCCCATGAGCCTCAGAACCTGGCCCCTTCCTTCCCCAGCCTGGGACTTAAAAATAGTCACACACTACCACTAAGACCCCAGTGAACCTCCAGTAACCACTGAATTAGTATCACTCTAGTCTAAAAAAGCAATACCAAGTCTCCTAAAGACTGAGTTGTAGGTTCTTCCTATATGATCTGAAATTAACCAAGCATGGGTGACAGTTAAACCAAACTAAACTCCTAGTCACCATGGCTGGGCTAGAAACATATCTCATGAACAGTGAATGAACTGCAGATGTCCATGTCCCATTGCAGAAGTACAAGCAATATGAAAAAACAAGATAATACATACCTCTGTAAACTCACTAATCCAAGAGCAATGTTCTCCAGTGAAAACTGTCTAGACCAACATTTCTCAACCTGTGGGTAGCATTCCCTTTGGGAGGCAAATGACCCTTTCACAAGAGTTGCCTAAGGCTATTGGAAAAAACATGTTTACATTACAATTCATAACAGCAAAATTAGTTATGAAGTAGCAACAAAAATGATTTTATGTTTGGGTGTTACCACAACATGAGGGACTATATTAAAAGGTTGTAGCATTGGGAAGATCGAGAACCACTAGTCTAGATGAACCTGTATCAACATTTTTTTTTATGCTTACCATGCAACAAAACCTTTATTAACATTTTTTAACAGAGGTTCAGCTATTATTGAAACGTGTAATTTCTAAACTTAAATTGGGGCAAATGGCTAGAGTGCAGAGTAACGCCATCATTGCCCACTGGGAATACCGACTGAAGAATTAATAGCCACCCCTCAGACGGAGGACCAGGTGCAGGGTTGACTCTTTCTGGATGTTGTAATCAGAGAGGGTGCGGCCATCTTCCAGCTGCTTGCCGGCAAAGATGAGCCTCTGCTGGTCAGGGGGGATGCCCTCTTTATCCTGGATCTTGGCCTTCACGTTCTCGATGGTGTCACTGGGCTCCACCTCCAGGGTGATGGTCTTGCCGGTCAGGGTCTTCATGAAGATCTGCATTTTGACCTGTTAATGAATGCAATGAAAGCACAAACCGCCCAGCGCGTCGAAACACCCTCACGGAAGGACCACCGAACCGGACAAAGCCTCTCGTCACTCCTGTATCAACATTTTTAATAATGAGATTCTAGCCTGTGTTTTCTTACGTCATTTCTTGTCCATTTTTCTTCAGTAGTGTTATAGAGGTTAATTGCAGATTCTGGACTTGCAGATTTTGGACTTCAGAGAAAGGGAGGAATATTTTGGTATAACTTTTAATTCTTTTCCAACTGGATTTGGTCCTTGAGCAATAGTTTGTTGTATGCTGCTCCATTTTTCTGTGTTAGTGTGTTAGTGGAATAAAAAGAAAAGCTCATAAGAGATCATTTGTTCTGGAGTGACTGTGGAAGAGATTCAGGTCACCACAAATACTGTGTTCCAGCATGCTTACAGGTTGGCAGCATCTGTATAGCAACAGAGTGGAGAAGCCGTGACACAGGTGACGCAAGTGGGCAAAACTGTCACATGCCTCAGATAGTGTCTAGTGATGTTCTTGCCTTTGGTTTGCTAGAGGCTAGGAATATCTTTGTACATTTTAAAGGGATTTACCTAACACAAGGATATTGGATCACACACAGAGGTGGACAGTAGCTATATAGAAGAGTATAAGGTACCCCAACTCCAAATATTTCTATAAATAGAGATCTTCACAGTCACCGAAGTTACAGTCACCCGGCTGTATAGAATATAGTATAGGTATGATGTTTGCTGGGTGTCACTTTTCATAAGTGTTTTTAAAATTTCTTAGATTTATTTTATCTTGTGCATATGAGTGTTTTGCCTGCGTGTATTTATGGGTACCATGTGCATACCTGGTACCTGCAGAGGTCCGAAAAGAGCATTGGATCTACTGGACATGTAGTTGCAGACAGTTATGAGCCACCATGTGGGTGCTGGGAATTGAACACGGGTCTTCTCCAAGAGCAACAACTGCTCATAGCTGTTTCCTGTCGGTAGTGGGAGAATACACTATTCTGTGTTATAAAACAGGTCCAGTCTCCAAGGACTAGAATTACCAGACAATTATAAAAGATTCAATTCTATCTATGTTTATACAGTTAACTTTCACTGCTCTCCTGTAGGGTTATGAAGATGTCCATGAGTGTCCAGAGCCTGGACAGCCAAGTGGGTTAGGAAAGGAACTAACTGTTCTGAACTATTAAAATATCTTCATGATTAATATGTGTTTTTCTACAGGAACTTTTATTCTTTAAATCTTCATAATGTTTGACTTGCTGTTTAGGGGCCTGGCTTATGTAATGAATTTGCTTGAAAGTAGAAAGGTAGCAGGGCTAGGGAGATAGCCCTGTTAGTAAAGTGCTTAAGTGTGATGCCCTGAGTCTTCTCTCCAGAACCGTCAGGGGCAGGGGGGTGGGGGGAACCCACAGTGGCACATACTTGTTTGTAATTCCAGTGGTGGGCAGTTGGAGACAAGATCCTTGGGGCTTGCTGGCCAGCCAGCCTAGCAGAATCTACAAGACCCAGGCCAATGAGTCTTTCAGCAATAAACAAGGCAGCTGGCTCCCGAGGTTCCATATATAGGGGCACACCTGTGTACCTGCACATAAGAACACTTAAGATAAGTTGCATAAGTAATGGTTTAGCATATCAAAATGAAGTGGAACATTGACACACATTGAGCCGAGATTAAGCACACTGATGTGACTTGTGTTTCCAAGGATGAATAGGCTGCAATGGCCAGAGGGAATATGAGGGTTATCTGAGCAAGAAATGTAGCACAAGTTATAATTGGCCTGTTTATAAGTAACTGAAAATACAACCATGCCAGCATTATTAGTTAGATATTTTCAGCCGATACTAACCTTTCCTTTTTTGTGGGTTAAGCTCTTCATACCTATAGATGTACTGAAAACAAAAACCAGGCACTTTGACTTAATTATTTTAGTTGGTACCTTTTCCTTTTCTTAACCAACTAAACAATATGGCATGTATCACTTTAATAATTGTATGTTAAATTTGTAATTGCTTTGGGAAGTTGTAAAAAGCCTTAAAAGAACTGAACCCAGTACATAATGTATGTAGAAATGAATCTTTGTGAACTTGATACATTTCTGACTAGATTATCCTGATGTTTTGACAGAATTACAGCCGTGCGTATATTATATGTTAGCACTGTAACTACCTGTTTGCTTGGTATAGATACTAACTGATATTACTGGGAGATATGGACCTTATACTTGAGAATTGTACAAGTTCCTTACTAAGATGGCATGGATATGTTGTATTAAATATTTAAATACTTACTTTTTTCAGCTATCAGCCGATCGTTGACTACATAGACGATCAGTTTGAGGCCTATCTCCAGGAAGAACTGAAGATCAAGCGCGCTCTTTTTAACTACCACGACTCCCGTATCCATGTGTGCCTCTACTTCATTGCTCCGACAGGCCATTCGCTAAGGACGCTTGACCTCCTAACCATGAAGAGCCTGGACAATAAGGTGGAGTAGAGCAGCAACCAACTTCTCAAACTTTAGTTCACTTGAAGTATTAAAGTGTCTTTATGATAATATGCACATACTTCGTAGCTCTTGTTCTATATAGCTTTAAAACATTTTTTTTTTCTGGAGAAATTCAATCTGGAAAATGAGATACAAATACTAAACAAGTTATCTTTTTAGTGGTTATACGTGTTATAATTGTCCTGTGATTTTATTTCAAACATGAACTAGAGGAATAACTTAATTGTTAAAGATTATAAAGTATAATAATAATATTTCATTTTGGTACAATATATTTTTGTTTGGACTATACCAAGAAAATCTGTTCCTCAACTTTTGAAGCAAGTAGCTATTTATACATTTTGGAGGTTATAAAATAGTTTACAAATTAACTCACTGAAGATTATTATGTTTATTTAAAAGTTGAAAAAGACTAGATACTCTCCTAATCCCAAAGAATTCTGTTCATGTACAAACTTGTGCTTTTTAAAGGAGTAAAATCAAAACAAATTTTATATTATAGAGAAGAATATGATACAGCATTATAAAGATCACATAATTTGTTATCAGTGGGGGATTATTTTAAATATTGGTTGTATCCCTTATTAGCAGTTTAATTTGTGGCAAATTATACAGTATCAAAGACTTTGAAACCAAATGTTTTCTGGTGACAGTTAAAGTTTGTCAGCCCTAGTCATGTGATGTTTGGGTCTACCCTATTCTATTTTGTTCAAGTGATGGGGCAAATTCTATATTGGGCCTCCATCTCAATCCTGCCTTCAGCTTTTTGTAACAAATGAGGTAATGAATTTCTTGCCAGTTTGAAAAGAAAACTTAGGAGGAGCTCCAATGACTTGGTTTTGCACTTGGATACATAGTGTTATTTATGTAGTTACTTAGTTTGTCATTGTAGTGGTTTTAGTAGGGCAGCTGCTATTCGGTAGGCCTTTGGCAGGCTTCAGGAAACTTAATTTCTATGAGAGAGAGATGAAGGTGACCTCTGGTCTCTCAGTTTCCCAGGTCGTCTCTCTTGTACCTGAAAGCCAAACACTTGTCTGCCGGATGTAGAAAGTTACTGTTGTCCATTCGGATGGTGACAAATGACCATCTTTGGCAGTATTCACTTTCTTTCCTCTGAGAACCATGCACACTTGATGCTTAATATATTTATGCAGTTTGAAAACAATTGCAATGTGAACATTTTGACATAAGTTATCGAATATATGGATTCTTGAAACCAAGTACTTGGCACCCAAACTTTTATGTACTTTGAAACCTACTTACAGTTGTTTTCTGCCATCCACTTCATGGATAGTTGGCAAAATAATTATCTCTTTGGAAGTGTCTGGAAGGCTAGTAATCACAGAGGCATATACTGAGTCGGTGCAGAATTAGAAAAGAGAAAAACATTTAAAAAACGAATCCTTTCCGTTTTTAGAAAATTGCACGGTGATCTTTTCTTTTTCACATGTTCATTAGCCTGAGGGCATGGGTTCAAAATAAAAAAAAAAAACATGATAATTAAACTCAGTTTGTAGAGATCGACCTTGTGTTGGGGACATTAATCTTATGCAGGACTATGTTTGTAAGTTAGTATTCATGACCCCACATTTCTTCCCCTCTAGCAGTCATAGGTCTGGAGCATGTGGGGACACCAGTCCTTTGCATCAGAGCATTTTTGTTATTTCTGGCAGTTTCTATCCAGTTCTGTAAGCACCTTCTCTGACGAGCAGACCTGATGGAGGCAAGTCAAAGGGGAGAGTCAAGAAGAGCAGTATCACCTGGTCTCTTAGTTTTCTGAGTTTGCTTAGAGTTTATGTTCTACTCACCTTTTGTGGAGTTGAAAAATTTGAGGGGGAAAGAAGGTAATGAGATTCTAAATCTAAGTGCAAATGAAGATTTAATTTTACAAGAGCTCTTTTAGAAATTATTATAACTAGCATCCATAGAATGGGTGTATGAGAATTTGTATATGCATGTACTAAATGACAACTAGTAATGTTTTGGTTAGAGAGAGCCAGACCTTGTTTGGGGTAGGTAGTAAAATATGTGGGCTACTATCTATGTTCCTTATGGCGACTCCTTTCATCTCTTGTAACATGAAAGCAGAATAAATGAATAGATGTGGTGGTACTCCAGTCTACCTTCATTTATAAAAACCAGGCAGCAACCTGGATTATAATTTGCCAACTCCTGATCTGAGAAATTTATTGTTAGAGATTTTTTTAAAATATGCAAAAACTATGACTACAGGATTTAAAAAAAAAAGAAAAGAATCTTCCATGATGATATTGTGGATTTTCTTTCTTAATAGGTGAACATTATACCACTTATTGCCAAGGCAGATACAGTTTCTAAGAGTGAATTACAGAAGTTTAAGATGAAGCTCATGAGTGAACTGGTCATCAACGGTGTGCAGATATATCAGTTTCCCACAGATGACGACACAACGGCCAAGATCAACGGAGCAATGAATGTGAGCCCCCTGGATGCTAAGTCTTGACTGTTTGTAAACTAGAGCTGAGCGGAGTTTTGATCAGCGTGGTTGCAACAGTAGACCTGCTCATCCGATGCTTTGCTTCCAGAGCCTTTAGTTATTATTGTGGACATAGACAGTGGGAGCTTGCAGAAATAACTTACTAGTTCTCAGTCCTGTGCCCATATGAATAGCAAGATAAAATCTCACCACAGGCTTTGAACCAACTGACATCATCAAAGGAATGGTGTTTCTAGTACAGTAGTACTTTGAAAGAGGTACAGTCATATGTTTTTAGTGGTTTTTGTCCCACTTAATTAGTTATTGATCTCTTATGGTACCTGATTTCTGAACATTTGCAGGTGTAAAAAGCATTCTATGTATGGGACTGTGCACAGCCTTTAGGCATCTACTGGGTTCTTGGAATGTACCACTCACAAATAAAGAGAGACCAGTGAGCTATATTTTCACTTGTGTTTTTCAGAAAGACTTCAAATAAGGTGAAATGTCAAAAAGTCCAGTAGGATAAACTTTTATTGTTGCTGACAAATAGATACTGAATACTTTCATCTTAGCTTTGCTTCCTCTTGCTTTCCCTGAATTGAGTAAGTCAGTCATTGTAAGCTGGGGTTTATCTTCAGCTGAACCATATTTCACTGCCTTAGAAGAGATTCCTTCCTGTCCCATTGTAAAACATGAAAGGACCATGCAGCCTTCCTTGGAATACTTTAGAATTTGACTTTTTAAGAACTCTTTATTTTTTTGACATTATTTATATGTATTTGAACACATGTATGCCATGGTATCTGGTATGCTGTGGAAATCAGGGAAACCATGAACATCTTTTGGGACATGGTTTTGTTCTTTCACTACATGGGTTTCTGAAACAGATCTCAGGTCATCAAGCTGGGCACAGGAGCTTTAACACTGAGCTATCCTGCTGGCTCTGATCTTCATTTCCAAATGGATACATATTTCATATTTCTTATTTCTTCTGATAATGTTTATATTTAGTTCATATTTCTTCTGATAATGTTTTTAGTTTGTTCCTTTGAGGCAGTGTTCCACTTTATAGTTCAGGATGTCCTAGAATTCATTATGTAGCCCAAGCTGGCCTCAAACTATCATCAGACTTCTCAGTGCAAAAATTGAAGTATGAGCAATCATTTTGGGCTTCTGACAACATTTCCTTATTCATTTGAGGACTCTGAGGATAGCCTCTGTGCATGCTAAGTATATCCCAGATGACTCAGCTAGAGCTGCAGACCCTGTGACAATTTCAGTCAGTGAACGACACTAGATCATCTGTTAGTGATACTCAGTGACATTGTATCAGGCTTACTTCTACACAGCGGACTTTTGTGACAGACTGGAAACAGCTACCCTTCTACCTAACTCACAAGGAGGTATCTTTCAGTGAAGACCCAACATACATCCATAGCAAATTCATTTCAGCGTCTGAGTCCGATGAGCTCTGAAGTGTATTCACTGAAGTGAATGTTTCATTTAAGCAGTGAATGTATGAATGTACACTGAGGGTGAATACATACGTGCACATTACTGTGAAGCTTTCATCGACAACACTGTGCACAGTGCCTTCTCATCACCTGCCAGATTACAGCCAAGGTCAAAGTAGGCTTCTCATCATTCAGGTCTTGTCCTCCAATGCCAACCAAGGAGGTTTAGCTGGATTCTTCTTAATTCAACTGCATAGCTGCAGTTTTCTAAACAAAGAGATGGTTGACGTGGGGATTAACACCAAGAGAGTCGTCCAGTTACAAAGGTTCTTTCTTCATGAGTTTCTCTTTGAAACCTGACATGTTAATATCTATCTGTGGATATATGTTAATAATGACATGTTAATATCTATCTGTGGATAGATATCTATCTATCTATCCCCTTCCTTCTGTCCTTTCCGTGCAATTTGATTGAGCAGATGGAAATAGGCTTTGGAATCCTTCAATCCTGTTTAATTCAATGGCAGCAAACAAGCCAGTCTTAATAATCTGCCCAAGCAGTCCCAAGCCCAGATGGGGTTTCCCTGCACACAGATCTTCTGCACCAGTGTTCACAACATGATATCCAATAGCAGAAGCAGAGTTCAGTGCTAGTTCAAGTTTTCCTGAATGATGAATGGTGTAAGCTTCATATTGATTGCTCTCTCATCAATTGTATCAGGAACTGACAGGATGATAGTTTTGCAGAGCACAATTCCATTGCCAACTGCTTTGAACAGGTCATCAGTATTTGGGCTCATAGGTATGGTGTGTCTGTAATCGTTATCATTTTCCAAAGCTTTGTTTACCCAGTTAATGAAAGTATATTTTTCTTCCTCTGAGTAAGAATGTTGGGTTCCTTCACTGGACAACTCTGAAGTTCCTCCCAGAACATGAATCCCTTTTTTCCTGTTGATGACTTTGCAGAAGGTTTTAGCAATATCACTGCTATTGACCTTTTGGAAAATGGTTTTCACAGGCACCAGCGGGGAGCGATTTTGGAGCTGGCTCTGCACACATTGTCCACTGCTAGCAGGGGGGGATATGATGGCCCGTGTGCCTCGGGGGCGCGCAGGCGTGAGGTTGTCCATGTCTCCTGTCTGGAGCACATGTCTCAGGGAGGCGGTGATTACCGCAATGGAGCAGAAGCGGGGCGCAGAAAGCTTGGTTGTGTTTGTATCACACCGCGCCCAGTAGACGCAGCAGGGATCGTACTCGGGCGGGAATGAACTCAGCCAGATTTCAGCGAGCATGGGCACAAAGCCCTCGAATCTCTGTTCTGGTCCCCAAACGCCACGGGTAGGGGGGAGCGCAGCAGGACAGAGACTGGGGGGGGTGTGGGGGGCACATGGTTGTGCTTGGAGAAGCCAGCACGCCATATTGGCCTCCGTTCTGGGGGGTCTATGGACGCCTGCAGAATGGAGGCAGGGAACCCACAGGGTGCGCTGAGGAAACAGGAGAGTCTAGACGCCATGCCCTGTTGGAAGTACTTACTTGTTTGGTGTTAGCGGCCCATTCATTCTTGAATTCCGTGGGTGTCTATGCCTCATGTTGGTGGCGCCAGCTGTGGTTTAAAACTCGCCCGGCGCGAGGGGCAGGTCGCACCTGCGCCGTGGTCGCAGCTGAGGCAGTCCTCAGAGCCCTTAAGAACTCTTGAAGCTGATGTTGACTCTCATTGTCCCTTACAGTGTCACCTGTACAAATGAAATGCTTGCTTAATTTAATGTATCTAAGATGACTAAGCTGTTTATTTTTCTCCAAGTTTCATGTTTTTTAAGTGCTTTGCTGTCTTTTGAAGGGTTGTGGGTTTGAGGCTCATGCTTTATATGACAGTTACCTCCTGGAGACTCTTAACTTGTCTGCAGAATTTGGCTAGTAGTCTGCATAAGGGCTGACTTAGGTGAGGATTAAATGATGTACCCTTGGATGTGGTACCTAGTGCCTAGCAACAGCATCCCATTACTGTTGTTCTTGATTTATCATATGCCACTGTACTACATACATTCCTATGTCAAAAGTTCTGATAAAAGAAACTGAAGCTTATTTTGGTTGTGGTTTGTGATTATAGCCCAGCATGGTGTGTGAGTCCTGGCAGCAGGAATGGATAGCAGCTAGCTGGTCACAGTGTGTCCACTGTCAGGAAACACAGAGGAATGTAGATGCCAGTCCAGTCTATCCTTTATGTATGGGTTCCTGGTCCATGGATGGTGCTGCCCATGTTCTTGATGGACCCTCCCTGCTCAGTTTAACCTTTCTAAGACACACTCAGGTGGTTCTAAATCTATGCTTATTCTAGATGTAGTTGTGTTGACAGTGAAGATTAGCCATCGCAACCATGAAAATACAAAACTCTAAATTTCTTAAGTCCTGATAATGTAAGTGAAGTGATCTTTATTCTCTGCCTTTAAATTGCCTTTATATCTAATTTTATTCGCATGCTCATTAGTAATTTATCAGAAGACAGTTAAGAAGCCTTTATTCAGATGCTAACTATTAAACATCTGTTTTTACATTCATCTTCTCCTGTTTCAGGGCTCGACATGAGATTTATGTCCTCCTAGTCCTCAGCCGAGCTGCTGCCTGTTACTGAGTCTCTCCCTATGCTAGCTCTTCTTCCTTTGTTGGTTCTCAATCCTAGCCCAGCATGGACTGTGCCTCCCCTGTCTCAGTAATCTCTTGTTCCTCCCGACTTCTATAGCATTTACTACACTAGTATCATTCTTAAACTTTGTGCATCATTTTATATTAATAGTGATATACTAAAAGCAGATACTGTATTATTTTATATATTATATAATGTGTATAGTTTCTAAAACATCTTTGTTTTTAAGGAGAAAATGTTCATGACAGTGTCACATGTATCAAAATTCTTCTTCTCCTTTTCTTTCTTATTTCAACTCCAAATATCACTGTGCCTTCTATGTGAGAGATACCCAGTAGATACTTGTCTTTGTAGTGTCCAAAAGTGACTCTTACAGATTGCTTAGTACATATCCCAAACTTAGTAGAACTGCTCTCTAATTAGTCTCCATTATTTTCATCACTGATATTATAGTCACTTATATTGCGGTATAAAAAGGTGAGATTGATGTTTGATTCCTTTCCAGGGCCATTTGCCGTTTGCTGTTGTTGGAAGTATGGATGAGATAAAAGTTGGAAATAAGATGGTCAAGGGTCGCCAGTATCCTTGGGGTATTGTACAAGGTAAGTAAGATAAATTATGACAGAAAATAAATGTGTTGCCTGGTAATCCCAAAATTAGAATTAGACCAATTGTTTGAGGTGACAATTATTTAGATTGTAGATAGTAAACAGAGGAATTAGCTGTATACTGCTTTGTCCAAAGTCTGTGGACAGAGCTTTTCCATCTCCCTGTGTCATACCATGTCTCCTCTACTGGTTACCTTCAGAAGGTGAGATGCGTAGACATGGACTTACATCAGAAGGTGCTGCTTCTTTGATGCTGGAGATCCAGCCAGTGTGCTTGAGTATGCTAGAGAATGGAGATCCAGCCAGTGTGCTTGAGCATGCTAGAGAATGGAGATCCAGCCAGTGAGCTTGAGCATGCTAGAGAATGGAGATCCAGCCAGTGTGCTTGAGTATGCTAGAGAATGGAGATCCAGCCAGTGTGCTTGAGCATGCTAGAGACTGCTCTGTGCAACTCCATCCCTAGTCCTTGATTAGAACTGGAATCTAAAGTAGTGGTTAAACATGATAAACATCAGGGCAAACTTGCACGATAAAGTAACATCTTGTCTCAAAAAGTTAAAACAAAAAGGTGGAGTGACCTGTGTTCAGTGTTAAGAGTGCTAGCATGTATCAATCAGGTCCTGATCAGGGAATCAACAGTTAAACATGAAGTGGTCTTGCTTTTGTAGCCGAGCTGGCCTGGAAATTATGAACTCTACGTCTGAGTACTGGGATTATATGCATATATACCACCCTGCCCAGCTGATATAATATTTTTCAATGAATCTGAAATAATGAGAAAACTTTTAATTAAAACTGTAAAGTAAACTGGGTATGGTATACCTCTAGTCCTAGCTCCTTGGGGAGCCAAAGCCAGAGGATTTTAAGCTGGATGCCAATCTGTGCAATACAGTGAAGCTTGACTCAGATACATACATACATACATACATACATACATACATACAAACATACAAAAATAAATTGTTAAAATTTCATTTAAAATACTTGGTCACTGTAATATATTTATTTATACTCCTCTGGTAATCACAAACATAGAATGACCATACAATTGTCTTTATTAATTTTGAATATACAAATTCATAAATGTAATGTAGAAAAAGATTTGGTCATTGTAGATCTGAACAGAATTCACTACTTGAGAGTGAAACAAGCTTACTTAAGTACTATGTAAAATGTCTCATGGTTATAGTTGGTAAGTTAACAGTGGGAGTAAATAACTCGAGCATATAGAAATGAAAAATATGTCTTTGCTATTTCCTGTTTGTCCATTAGCTACTGTATTTGAAGCAGACCTCTCAGTCTGTTAGCTAGTATTACCTGTTATTCAAAGTGTATAATGTAAGCATTTCTTCCTTGGTTACATGTATATAATAGTAGCCACTGATCAGAAGTGACATCTTGCTGTTTGTTATTTCACTGTGCTTTCCTTTACCTTTCATTCGACAAGCACTGATTGTATGCCAGGAATTAAAGCTAGCATTGTGCTTTTCTTATTTTCTCTGGCTAGTGGAAAATGAAAATCACTGTGACTTTGTAAAGCTGCGGGAAATGCTTATTTGCACAAACATGGAGGACCTGCGGGAGCAGACGCATATGAGGCACTATGAGCTGTACAGGCGCTGCAAATTGCAGGAGATGGGCTTTGTAGACATGGGCCCAGAGAACAAGCCCCTCAGGTAAGGGAGGCTTTTGGAAGAAGGCAGGAGCAGAGAAAGTTAGAAAGTTAGGATTACCCTTTCTTAAGCTTTATAGTGATGAGAATATATTTTTAGAAATCTAAGTATGAAATTGATTTATTTGACTTCTCCAATCAACTGATATCTCTTTGCTTCTGAAGATTATGCCTGACTGTAAAGGAGCTAAGAAAAAAACAGTCCTTCTATACAGCTACTTGGGAAACTGTTCCATGAAGCTTGCAAGTTCAAGGTCTGCCTGAACTGTACAACCTTTTCAGGGCCAACTTGGGCAATATAGTAACATCTTGTCTCAAAAGTAAAAAAGAGGTGGGGTGGGGAGGAGTGGCAGCAGCTGGTGTTCAGTGTTGAGAGCATCAGCATGGATGAGGTCCTGAACTGGGGAAAGAAGTAATTAGAATGTGCACCTTTAGTATATGAATAACTGAAGGACACACTTCAGTTTTTGTTTGCATCTTGGGTTTTTTTTTTTTTGTTTTTTGTTTTTTTTGTGGGGAGGGGTGCCTAGAAGCAGTTAAAAGTATAATTATTCCACAAGTCAGATTATCCAAGTCTTCATCAGTTGCCCTTTATCTGAAGGAACATTTAGGGAAACAGAAGCTTAGCCAAGTATGTAATGTCTTTTCCTTGTAAAGAATCTCAGTTCAAATGATTTCTTATAGTTGGAAGAATTTTAGCCCTAAAGACCTTGATAAAGGACTAGACCATTTAATGTTACTCTGAATTTCTTTGGTAACTTTATATGGTGCTAAATGATATCTCTGAATTTTTTAAATGAATACATACATACATACATTCAAACATACATACATACATACATACATACAGACAGACAGACAGACATAAAATCCTAATTCCTTATGTACTTAATCAAATCTGTTTTGCTAAGGCACTCTAGAACAGTTTTGATGTGTAAAGCATTTAGTCTTTAGGTTCAATACTATTTTGAACTTTTATGAGACTGGGAATTCCTTTTTAACTCCACTGTTGGATTTGTTAGTTACCCTGGCTGTTAACAAGTATCACAGAGAAAACACAACAGGGAGGAACTAGAGAGTGTCTAATTGTTTAGACTGCAGTTGACCTTGTGGAAGACTTAATCATAGACAAAATTCAATTTTAAATTTCATTAGTGGTTTAAAAATTAAGAGTTTTATGTGTTTAACCCCTCCCCACCAAATTAATACTATATACCAATAATTCTGATAAGCTGATGATTTTCTGATCATACTACATTTTTACTGAAGAGTAACCATTTCATGTTGGCATCCCTGGTGTTTCCCAGAGGTTTTGCCTCATTTCTTCCAAGTCTCAGGGACAATTCAGAGGTCCCTGTCTGCACAGAGGAGGCGGAGATTCCAAGTCAAAGCAAACAGGACAGCTAGAAAGTGTCTCCAAGAGAGATCCGGGTTGCCTGGTGGACTCATCATGAGTCACCTGTAGATGACTAAGACATGCAGGGTCAGAACTCACAGGGATGGAGCCTAGCAATCTACATTTTAAAATGTCCGGTCAGCCAGTAGTTATTGTTCATCTGCCATCCATCTGCTCAGTATGCTAGCTACGGGTATGTATGCAAATGAGTCAGACAGACATAACCTTGCCTAAGGGCAGGAATACAAAGAGGATGTTTTGTTGTGTGAGCCAGAGAGGATGCGGTGGGGCAGACAGAGGTTGACCTGGAGAGACTAGCTAAGAGGCCAGCCATAGGAAGATGGAGGCTTAGACAACAATGATAACATACTGAGGATGTTCAACTCTGAGGAGTCATTCAAAGATTGAATTGGATATGGGATGACATGAAAAGATGAATCAAAAAGTACGTAGTCACCTAAGAAACAATTCAAATGGTGGTCACTGACGTAAGCAAGGTGAGATAGGGAAAGAATGTTGGGATTATGATCAGAAAACTCTGAAAACATCAAATTTAAACAGCTCCTTAAACAGTCAGGATGAGTGTATAAGAGGAATGTAAAACTGAGATGGTTCGGTAGTAAATATTGAACAATACGTGGTAGAACAGTAAGTACTTTCAGAGCAGCTGCTGTGTTCACCTGTGTGCTGTAGTGGTGGTGGTACCAGAGTTTGAATAAATCAAAACCCCACATGTGTGCTGAATGTGCCCACCACCCACTCGGCTACACCTTCCACCCAAGTATCTACTCTTCGTAAGGCTCTGGGCTAAGTGCTGGTAGTTTTGTATAATTCCAGCTGTCTTGGAGTTAACCAGCTTGTAAACAAGGGATGCCCAAATTAAATCTTCTGTGGCAGAATAAATTATAATTGTGCCGAGTGCACTAAAGGAAAGGTAGACACTATGAGACGGAAGAGGTGTCTTCGTTAAATTGGACAATTAGAAGACGTGCCCTTGGGATAGTAGTACATTCTGAGCGATAATAAACGAGAAGACCTAGAACAAAGCCCAGGAGGAGGGGACATCACTGGAGGGTTTTGGCAGAGGACACAGAGGAAGAAGGGGACTCCAGTATGAGGACAGCTTCTATCCTTCCCAGGCTGCTCCACTTAACAACATGGGAATTTTTTAAAACTACACTCTGGATTTCTTAGGCCAAGCTGAGGCAAACTATTTCTGGTAGTACTTCGTTATTTTGTGAGTTTTGATAAGGTTTATAAAAGGTTCATTGTAGCCTAATACATAGAAAGCCTCATTGTTCCTAGTTTCTTGAACTTTTTGTTTTGTGAGGACTCTTTCCCATTTTGTTCTTCTTAATTTGGTTGGCATGTAAAACCTGAATTAAATCAACCAAGCAACTAAAAGAAGTGCTACATGGACCTGTGAGGGCACTCCTCATTTCTTCATTGCCAGATGTTCACTTTGTTTTTTTGTCTTCTCTTATTTAAAATGGTTGTACTGAGTCATAGTAGATATCTTAATACACCACAGTAATCCTATTCTTGTCATGAGATCTAAGCATAGAGCATTATACAAAGCTGGCATGTATCTGTAGATGTACATATGTACTTTTTTTGAGACTATGTCTCACTGTGTAGCCTGGCTGGCTGGTCTGGAACTCATTGTGTAGACCATCTGGCCTTGAACTCACAAAGATCAGCCTGCCTCTGCCCACTGAGTATTGGGATTTTTAAGGTGTCCCACCACATCGGACCTTAATTTTTTATATTAAGTTATATCCATTTTACCTTCATAAAAATTTAACTCCCCAAGATTAATGATTTCTGAATGTTTCCACAGTTAATTTCTATGAATTCTTCATACAAAATCCCTGTCACTGAAGTGCTAGGTCTGTAGTTCTTGGTTTTGTGGTGGATAACTCAGGCAAGTACTGTACCCCATGCAGTACAGACTGACTTGTAGCTTGCTGCTTAGTCCTGGCTGGTCTTAAATGCATAATTCTCCTCCTGTCTCCTAGGTACTTGGAGTATAGATTATGTGCCACATCTGTATTGGACTATAGGACTTATAGTTTTGAAGGGAAGATTTATATAGTACTGTAGAATTGCTTAACTGTCTGCTGTAGTTACACTGAAATTTTATCTTTGGAACTGTAAAGAAATGCATGTGCATTGAATCGCCTTAGAAGTTTATCATGTTTATTTGAACTGTACAAGGAACAAGAACATCTGTGAAAAGGATTGCAGACTTGATAACATTGAGAATTAAGGATTGGTCTTTTCCCTTTTTGCTTCAAGGTAGTCAGATCTACAGTAATGTAAAATAATGGCATTATGTACTCGTGACAAACTAACTGGATCCGAGAGGGGCGCAGCATAGCAGGGACTTCTGACGTTCATTTGGTACTTGTCTTAGTTCACAGTACTAACTGCACACACCGGGTTCTTCAGATCTGTTGAGCGCCTCATTCACCTTAGAATGATACAGCAGACCTCTGCAGTTAGAACTGGCTCCATAAGTAAATATATATCCTAGGAAGTCAGTATGATAGGAAGGAAGCATGTAGGAGCAGGACATCTCTGCCTTCTGCTAAATCTAGTTGAGGCAGTCAGATCCAGCATGGTTGCCTGTGGGTTTTAAAGGAAGTCTGCTCTGGTTCACAGCCCAGCTTCTAACTTCCCAGCTGCATTAGTTAGATTCCCTAAGGCCTTGCTCACGCCCCTGGACATGAGACTGCCAGTATTTGTTGGTGAGGTTTGCTGCAGACATGAGAACCTGCAGCATTGGGAGCAGGTGCTGCTGGTGACAGTCTCTAAAGTCTAGGCCTTTCTGTTCACCACGCGTATTGATTTTCTTCCTGGGTGTATGTACAGATAAAGACACAAAACATTATTTTAACTGTCAATTGATAAAAAGCTGAGTCATTATTTATTACTTATATGTTTTGGTATAAAAGATGTATCAATTCTACCTGCAAAATAATAGAATGAAGTTTCTGAGGCTTGTCAAAATAGCTAATATTTTTAGAAGCTTCTTTAAAATGAGACACAAACAAAACAACCAAAAAGCCTAATGCTATGAATGTTGGCTCCTGGGTATTTGAGGCAGTTGTCTAGTACTTAGGGTATTTTGAACAATGATGTGTTTTGTTCTTAATGAGAATGTGCTTACAAATGTTTAGGATATGATCTTAGAAAACCTGATGTGCATAACTTAACTCTCAGTCATGATAGCTATCATGCAACACTTCTTACTGTTTTTCTTCAGTTTATCAAATATTGATAAAAATTCTTAATTAAAAATATGAATTTTAAAATCCAGGTATATTAATGTCTTTTTAAACACAATAGAAGTTTCTTACTGACATAAGAGGAAAGTGAATTTGTATTCTCTGTTGAATCTTGGGATATTCACACAGTAAGCTGATGAGGAAGAGCTTGCCATTTCTGATATATTGGAAGGGTTATTGTCGTAGTTCTGGAATGTTACGAGTAGGTAAAGAGAGCTATTCATAGAATCCAGGACAGTCTCTGCTTGGCTAAAGTTGTTGCTACTCACGAGAAGTGTCCTTCTCTAAAGACAGCATTAATTAGAAATTAGGGTCTAAATAGCTTTGCTGTGTAGACAGGTAACAAAGATGACCAAGGATCCTATACCTATTTTCAGTATCTAAATCTATTAAAGAAAGAGAGGAGACAGGATATCAATGCTTTGGGGATACTTTGGGAGGACCAGTACAATGAGGAGAAGGAAAAGCCTTTGAAGAGGAAGTCACATTTGCACTTGGTCTCCAGAGATAGAGGAAAAGCCGAGCAGAATGGTCAGAGACATCAGAAACTGAAGAAAACTCAAAAGGGAAGGAATGTTCTAAGGACAGTGAGATATTTGGTTTGGCAGGAACTGTTGAAGTAAATATTTAAAATTGGCCACTGGTCAAACCAACTATCTAAGCTGTGGCGGCTCTGCCTAGCTCAGCTGCCATGTTTCTCGGCAATGGCCAGCCAGAAACACTAGCCCTGCCACCCACGAGACGTCAGTGAGGGAGATGGCTCTGCCAGTCTTCCACACTGTCTCAACAAGGCTGGGCATTGCCCAGACCATCCCACCATCCACGAGAGCCCAGTAGGAAAATGAGACTCTAATGCTTAAATTATCCAAAAGCTTATATATTTTGTAATGATCAGTAACAAGATGCCCATACAATCAGAAGTGTAACCCAATACCCAACCTAGATATTCCAACTACCTTTGACTGCTACAGACACGTGAACATCCGCCTCCATGTTCCCCTCTCTCTCATTCCTCTCTTCTAGCTCCTCCTCTTCCTTCTCCTCCTGTCCTCCTTACTCCTCCTCTTCCTCTCCTTACTCCTCCCACCTTAGCTCCTCCTACATGGAACCTAAAGGGACTTGATTGTCTGTTGAGGAATTAATCTGGAAAAGAAGTAGAGCAGGTTGCACTTTCCTGCCTGTTTAAAAGAGGGTGTGATTTTATTCCACAGGTGGTGCAGTCATAACTCAGAGGACGGTAAGGAGCTTTGTGGTTTGGGCGGAAAGTCTAGTAACCAGAAGAACACAGTGAGCAATGAACTAGAAGCCCAGAGATCATTCAGGAAAATATTGCAGTGGTGAAGGCAGAACACGTCAGGGGCACATTGGTTATGATAGCTGTGGCAATGGAAAGAGGACCAGATTTGGGTGATGTCAGCTTCACAAATAGAGCTAACCTGCCTTGGTGCTCAAAGATAAGCAGAGGGCATAAGTCATGTGGCTTCATTACTTTAGCATGTGGTTGGATTGATGCCGTTTAACAAAGATTGAAAAAGGAGCACGTTTGGTATAAAATGAGAGTACCTGTGAAGGACTCTGTCACCTTAGTTTGCTGTATTAGCTGCAGCACTGAAAGCCTTTCATCCGCTGCTGCAGGCAGTAGCATGTTTGGGGTCCTCAGAAATGATGGTACATGATAAAATCAGCCTAGTGTGAGGCACATACAGGCTTGCAAAACTGTTACCCTGTCTTTTTAACATGAGAATAACACAAACAACTCTCTTAGTCTTCAAGAGACTTATGAAGCTAAAAGACATGAATTCTATGGTGAACGTCAGAGGAAGGAAGAGCAGATGAAGCAGATGTTTGTGCAGCGAGTGAAGGAGAAAGAGGCCATACTGAAAGAGGCCGAGAGAGAGGTGAGTGTGGCTGGATTGGATGTCACTGGTTCTGATTTGGGATGGTCTATACAATTGGAAGATTAACCTTAAGATTGTCCTCGCCCTTTGAAAACTATAGCACATAGTTTTTAAATACAGACTTTGAAGAAATTATAACATGAAATCCAATTAAACCTTTTTGTCTTTGGAGCAAACATTCTTACATTAGAAACAGCAAAGACTTGTAACTACTAGGTTAGTAAGATGTATTCTAATACTATAACCAGAAACATTTCAGCTGTGGCTTAAGTGTTTTTGTTGTTAAAATTTCTTCAGTAGTGGAGACAAAGCAGTCTCTGTCCCTTCTTCCAAGATTCCAACAACAAACTGAGGCACAGTTTTGCCAGCATTCACTTTGGGGAACTAGTAAGTTTATTGGGCTTACTTACAGAGTATAAGTGAGGGGTTGCTTAGAGATTTGGGGGCGCTTTTCCCCAAACTGGCCATACCTGGAAAGTCTTAACCAGCAGGGATGAAGGCGTCCCTGGTAGCATAGTTGGACCCCTGGCTCTTCTCCATGGGCAGAGTTTCCAGTGTATAGAAATAGCTGGATACTTAGGGGAGAATCTGGTGCCCTCCTCAGAACCTCTTTACAGGGATGTCAACTATCAAGCAGCCCAGCTGGGGTTATCTTTGCAAGGGGCTGCAGTTGAACTCCGTAAGATGGTGGATGTTTGGCTCAGAGGACAGTCACTCATGGCAGTTGTTGTTTCCAGTAATTGGGTTTTCTTTTTTCACCATAAAATAGGCAACTGTGAAAGCTGTGAAGTGGCTTTCCTTACATTTGCATCAGACCTACTCAATGGAGTCAGTCACCCTTGCAAAAGAAAATACTAGTAAATTCCCTGTGAGCTTTTCCTCCCCATTCTTCAGGCAGTGATTTCAGTTTTGAGTTAGTTCCTGTTCTTCTATGTGTGTCAATGTCCTGTGCAGATGTGTACACATACATGTAAGTAGGTTAGAGGTCACCTTTCCGTGCTGTCCACCTTGTTTTTTGTTGATTTGCTTGCTTGCTTTGGGATAGGATCACTCACTGGTCAGAGCTTGGTAACTGCTGAACTCCTGTCTCCACTCCTGACTGCTGGGATTACTTAGCACAGATCACCACATCCGAGCTTTTAGCAGGGGCTCTAGGCATTGACTCAGGTCTTCATGTGTTCACAGCAGACACTATACTGATTGTGGTATCTGCAGCCTGTTGTGAATGAATTGTTAGTAACGAACACATTGATGTGTTTCCACGGTGTTAGCATTTGCTGAATAGAAGTCAGCTGACATAACTTTCACTGGCTACACTGCCAAGTACTCCCAATTTCCCTTGATATATGGCTATTGGCAGTCATAGGCTCTTTATTCCATCATTCCAAATAGGATATTTATTCCAATCTCAATTACTAGTAGTAACTCTCAGATCATGTATTACAGTGCATACAGTAATGTGTATAGGTGGGAGAATATTCGTAGGCTAGAGAAGGGCTACAAAAAGATACCACAGGTTCAACGATAGATTCCTGGAGGTGGTCACTCCAGGTGATTAGATAAGACGTTAGAGAACACCGAAGCAGAGCCTAGGTGTCACAGGACCCATAAGGATAGGCACCTGACCTGTTTTACAGGGTCCAAGTGAGTATGTTGAACTCTTTGTCGTTCTACGGTGTTTGATACAGTTTTAGATATATTTCTTTTTGGTTTTGTTTTGTACTATGACTCATGTGTTCTCAGTCTACTTTGATAATTTGTAGTTTGTTTTGATTACTTTTTGTTTCTATGATAAAATAATACAATCAAGGCAGTTATATAAAAAAGAGTTTCTTTGGGGTCATGCTTTCAGAGTGGACCTTCATAATGGCAGGGGATGCATGGTAGCAGATGGCTGGAGTGGAAGCTAAGTGATCATATCCTTAGTGCAAGCACAAAACAGAATGAACTGAAGTTGGGTGAAGCTATAAACTGTAGAAATCCTCACCTAGTGACATACTTCCTCCGGCAAGGCTGCACTTCCTAAAAGTTCCAACCTTTCCCAAAGAGCACCACCAACTGGTGACCAGATGTTTAAATATGTCTATGGGGACATTTCTCATTCAGACCACCACAGGTCATGAATACATGCACGGATGAGTTATTAGGCTAGGCCTCATTGATACTGGCTGATATTTTTGTTCAGAGGACACCTCCAGAGGAGTTCCAGATTTTTGTACTGCCAAACAAGAAGTTAGCAGGGCATTTGCAGCAGAAGAGGTAGTCCATATCCGGGAGTACTGGTGGGCGCTGGTAGAACTGCTTTCTTGTTTCTGGTTATACTTTCCTGGTGTGTGTTCATGGCCATGTAGGTAGCCAGAATTTAACCTTTTTTACTGCTTAAGTCAGTCAAGACTCTGAGAGTTAGTCTTAGGAACTTAAGGTGAGCCCCTTGGCTTTTGTAATTTTTCCTCTACCTGTTGATCATAAGAATGGGTCAGGGTCTTGCTGTCCATGTCTCACTCCCCAACAATTCCCTCTTTGCAGGGTGTGACTGGTTAGAGTCCAGTCTCTAAGTTCTTCTTGTCCTCTTTGATCAAGAAGACAGGGACTTATCAGAGTATTTGGGCTCTTTTAGAGGGGTCCCTTTGCCCCCTAAGTCTTGACTGACCTTAAGAGGGCGAGAGCCAAAATACTGGTTGTACTTTCAACCCTATCATCCACATTGGTTTAGGCCTCCATGCTATGGTTTTTGAGAGCCCAGAGGATGTTTCATTCCTCTTACAGAGTAGATGATAGATTGTAATTTAACTTGTGTGTAACAGACAAAATTTAGACAAAAGCAGATTTTTAGTGAACATAGCAGAGAATATAGTAATATTGATTAAATATAATTTGTTAAGTCAGTTTTTGTGTTACCAAGAGTCCATCAATATCCTAAAAGCATCCCTTTGATTAAAGTGGAACTTTTATATCAGTTTTGATTCTACCTTAGGAATTTTCCTAACCTTTAATCATTACACATACTCCATCTTTAGGCTTCATCTTTGACAAACCTTTACTACTTACATCCCTTTTTGTTTCTCTCTCTCGTGTTTATTGGTTCCTTCTTATGTCCATTAACGTCATAAAGAAAGAACTAAAGGAAAACTTTTACCAGATTATATTCATGGAATAATGTGATCTAAGGTTACCTGTCCTCAAAAGTATAGTTCTGTCTGTTGTAAATCCTGGGTGATGGCTGCCACTGGGGTCTTGTAAAGGCTCAATTCAAAATCCCACGGAAAATAAATATACACACAACCTGGCCTCATTATAACATAGAAACCATTAGACAGTTTTAAGTTTGAAAATGTCAGAAGGTGGCTCTTCAAAACCAAGCATCTCCTCTCTGGTAGCTTTTCTTTATGTCTGGGTAAGAAGAACAATCAACTGTTTTTTATCTCTGATCGATACCTACTCCAATTCACAATGCAGTGGCCAGTGATAGCTCACCTGTCAAGTTGGTTTTGAGGCCAGATGGTACGTATATTTATTCTTCATGAGAGTTTGAATTGATGTCAAGCTTGCACATGTTAAAACAGACTGGGCACACGACCAAGCCCTCAGAAGTGGGGTCCAGTTTATAGCTTTCTTAGAAGTTGAACTTGTCTATTAGAAGAAAGCCTGGTCATAAGGAACTTTGCTTTTTCTTTTCATCTGCAGAGTGGAGCGAGCTGTAGTATGCTGTTAGAATTAAGATGCCGTTCAGAGGCCAGGTTTCTCTGTTTCCTAGTTTTTAAAAGTATCTAGGGCAGACTCACCCTGGTTTCTTTGATGCATCCTGTGAGGTGTCTAAAAACAAGGTGCTCCTGGTTCCCATATATAAGGGAAGGAAAGTGAATCAGTGAGGCAGGCAGCATTCAGGATGAGGTGTTCCTTCTACAATGGATGGTTGAGCATGCGTCCTATGCAGTCTACCTCACAGAGGCATCCTCAGGGTTCCATCTTTATGGTCCAGCTCTGCTCTTGGTCACCCCCACACCCCAGGAAGTCCGTGAGGCTTGTTTGCGTTGACCCAGCTGGAGTCAACCATTATCACCTGTTGTTGTTTACTACCTTAATTTTGGGGCCCTGTCTCATCGACCCCTACCAACTCTCTTTACTTTGGGGATTCTAGGTTAGGCCCATGAGACCGTGAGGGCTCTTCCCATTCAAACCACCACAAGGTTCGTGACATAGACTGAGTGTTGACGCTTGCTTTCCAGTAATTTACCAGTATGATTTTCAAACCTCTTCTCTTTCTCTTCCCTTCTCTTCCCTT